TATTTAAACACACACAAACACACACACACACACACACACACACACACACACACACAAAACAACTTATTTTCCCTGGCCTGGTAGCTTTTTGGTTAGAGCCTTGTCCTGATGCATCAAGGTTGCAGGTTTGATCCAGGTCAGGGCACATACAAGAATCAAACAATGAGTACATAAATAAGTAGAACAACAAATCCACGTTTCTTCCTCTCTCCCTTCCTTCCTTCCTCTCTACCTTCTCTTTCTCTACATCTGGCATAGCTGATCACTCCTTTCACCTTGACAACATCCCACTTCTGCTTCTAGAACTCTGTACTCTTGGCTTTCCTACCTCACTGATCAATCTTTCTCAGTTTCTTGCTGGCTCCTTCTCTTCTCCCTGTCCTCTTAATTTGAAATGTCCAGGGGCTGAGTCCCTGGTTCTTTTTATTTACTACACTTACTTTTGTGGTGATCTCATCGGGCCTCTAGTTGGTAATAATAATGTCTTATGGTATGACCATGGGAATACATGGCTGAAGTGAACAAGGAGATGGGAAAAATAGAGATTGTCTAGTGTAGGTTAAGTTTGGAAAAACCAAAGCTCAGAAGGGATTTAATTGGAATCTGTAGTTAGGGTATGAATAGGGTAAATATGGACTTGATTTCCCAAATCCTAGACTGCTATTACTTAGGGACATTCCCTAAAGCTTAAAAATAAAATGAAGGCATTATTGAACATAGCAGGAGGTAATTTATGGAGTACATTACACTAAAAGATGATCCAGGCAGAAAATTGATATGGCTCACAAAGGGGCTACAATAGTTCTCATGAATGACACTTATATTTAATTCAAGTTAGGAAGGTATGTAGCCCAAACTTTAAAGGCTTATCTTGGAAAACAATCATGTTTTCCTTCCCAGTATTTTTCTATGCAATGGTTTTTCTATTAAGTCTTGTACTGGCTGTTCTTTGAATTACATGTTGTTGAATTTTATAGAATTTAATAAGGGGCATTGTTTTGTTTGGTATGCTAGTATATGTGAACTAGCTAGGTACAGGCCTTTAGAATGTAGAATCTCCATGCATGCATCTGGTATGACATCTTCCTTTTACAGGTGGGAAAATGAGGCCTCAGGAAGGAGAGGGGACTTGCCTGTATTCTCACAGTGAGTCAGTAACTAAGGTGGGACCCGAGGGCAGGTCTCCTGACCAGGAGTGCTGTGTGTTTTTCCATTACAGTGTGCTGATTTACATTATTGGCTGGTTAGAGGAATGAGCACAGTGGTTAAATAATTTACCCAGGCTGCGTGGGAAATTATTGGCAGAGCTAGTTGAGTTCATCCCTATAGAACCCCATCAGCGTAGGTGTTCTGGCATGAGTAAGATTTTAATGAGACAGACTAGAAATAATGATCAGAAGTACAGGTGAGAACCTGAGACTTGCACTTGGTGTCTGAAGTGGGGTGGGGGAGAGGACAGCTTAGTGGGACCTTGCCCTTAACCTGCGGGGGGGGAGGGGGCAGAATTGAGTTAAATTGTAGGACACCCAGTTGGTATCCTCCGAGAACTGGAGAATTGCTTGGTGTGGAAAACCCACACATCTAGTGTCAGAAGTGTTGGTTATGAATAGAGACGGAAATGGAAGTTTTTTCTTTAGGGGTCTGATGAAAATGGTTGAGAAACACTGGATCTGGTTGCAGATACTTAGCTCTATCTTAGAGGAAATCCCCAGGTATCATTGTATTTATTGTAAAGGTCAGTCTTCTAGGGAAGTCAGAGTTTCCGTTATACGCATTAAAGACATAACAAAATGGTCCAGGAAACGAAGTGGTTAGGAGTGTTTACAATTGGGCTATGCATTCTAGACGTCTCCATCCACATCAGTTTGCTCACTGTATAACCTCTCCTATGCTGTCTTGTCTTACATTTCCTAGACCTGAAAGTCTGGCTGTGGCTCAAGAAAAGGGATGTGGATAGAATTTCAGCTGCCTACTTGAGTTACCCTCAGTCCCTGTTAGAGCCGGGCTTATGGCTGTGGAGAACTACTATTTGGGTCTATCTATATAATTTGATAATGTCCCCTTATTATCACCATGAAAGGAGAAACTGTGGGTCAGTGCTTTATGCCAAATGTGACAGATTTTAAAAGTTGATTCTCCTCACCTGTCTCGTCTCCAGTGAGATTAACTTCTTTTTTTATTTATCTGGTACGCCAGAAAGCCTGGTTGCAAAATACTTTATTTTCATGAGATGGTCTGGGCATTATGCTCAGCCCTGTGCCTTGGACTTGGGAGCACTAGGTAAATAATAAGGTTTGATTTGAAGGGGAAAGAAAAGAAGTCTGATGCGTTGTTTTGGTTTTCAAAGGAAGTTGTCACTGTTTCACATGGGAGGGTAGCAGTGTCAGTTTAATTTACCCAAAAACCCCATGCTGGGCTTTGTCACCTGTGCACTGATGAGGGAGGGCCATGAGGGGTTTAGTCTGTACTTACGGATCTCAGGTATTCAGTGGGTCTTTTTGCAAATACCACCCCTGAGTGAAGGGCAAGGAAGGAAATTCTGTGATCTTCTATTGTTTCTAATCAGTGAAAGAGGGATTAGGCTAAACAAATATTAGAGTTGTGACTTTGGTCCCTCAGTGGTAAACAATAATTGTAGAGATTGTATTTCTAAAGCCCTGAGAATGTTTATCCA